TGGGGGCCGTGCGGTACCTCGGTGGGGGAGCCTGGCTGACGTCCACGCCCAGGGGATGAGGTTTGGGGAGATCGGTCAGGTAACGCATGTCACCAGCTTGGAAAATCCTCACGGTGCCGTCGGCGCAGCCGCAAAAGATCAGCTCCTCGCTGAGGCAGAGGCAATTTGCCAGCGGGACCTGCGACCGGGAGTGGGTAGAATCCTTGCCCTGGGGAATTTGGGGGATCCCCCCCCACCACCACCACCGTTATCCCCTTCCCATCCCTCTCCCACCTTTAGAACGATCCATTTTTCCAGCACCCGCTTCTCGTTGAACTGGCAGAGCAATCCCGAGGAGGAGACGCAGAAGGTGCTGCCCGACGCCGGCCCCCGGCCGCAGGCCACGCCGCAAAAAACGTTGTCGTGAAATTCGCCCAGCAAGCCCGAGCGTCCCACCAGCGGCACCGTCTCGTTGATCTGCGAAGCCAGGTAACGTCGCCGACCCAACGGTAACGAACATTAAGGAAGGAAACGGCTCCGGAGCAAGCACGGTCTTGGATTTCGGCAGAGCTGCCCCGCACCCAATGGGTTTTCACCGGACGGAGCGGCCCCGGCTCCGCGCTGAGCCGAAGCGCCCGCGGCTTCATGGCCTCGGCGAAGGGCGTCCCCTCACCTTCAGCTCCCTCGATGAGTCCAGGAACCAGAATTTGACGTGGCGGTGCCCTACGGTGACGAAATAACTGTCCTCGGAGAAGGCCACGGCCGTCACTTTGCAGGAGACTTTGTTTGAGGCCACCAGGGAACCTTTCTGCTCGGAGAGAAGCGGTTGGATCGCACCCAATCAGCGCCGCCCCTCCCCAAAAAATCCACAGCACCCATGAGAAAAGATGGAAATCCCTTTGGATTTAGGGAATTTTTAAGCCGGTTGGGTTGATCCGAAGCTCACCTTCCAATCCCAAACGTTGACGGCCATGTCGTGGGAGTACCCCACGGACACCAGATACCTGGCGCTGAGGGAAAAGGCGACGCAAGCCACGCCGTGCTTGTGACCGTGCAACGCCGAGACCTGCGCCCGTTCCTCCACATCCCACACGCGGACAGCCGGTCGGTGCCCGTTCTACGTGGGGAAAAACAACAGCGTGACGGCGGCTTTCCCCTTCCCCCCCATCCCTAAAGGGTGTTCCTGGCCTCCCAGCGTCATCCCAAATTGGGTGGAACCCCCCCTCCAAAAAAAAAAAAATGGGAGGAATAATCCTGACTACTCCATCCCACCGTCGCCAGGACAGATGAAATTGGGGTGTAGGTGACAACAAATGAGCAGCACCCACCTCTCCGGTGACGATGAGCTTCCCGTCAGGCGAGAAGGCCAAGGCGCTCAGAGTTTTCCTGGAAAATATTGGGATTTCTGTAACGACTGAGGGAAAACGGAGATGTTTCTTGGGCGGAGAAGGGAGGGAAAATGCTGGAAGCTGCACAAGCGTCACCGCTGAAAGCTGATGTATGGCACGGGCTGTGTTTGGGCGGGGGGCCT